GCTTCTCCCTCTGACCCTCCTCCCTCTCATGCTCTCTGTCTCTCATTCTCTCTGTCTCAAATAAATAAATAAAATCTTAAAAAAAAAAAAATAAAATAAAATAAAATAACAGCGGTGCTACTTACTGAGTGCTCACTGTGTGCTCAGTGCATCACATACATTATTTCATTTTAACTCCCATATAACCCCACAATGCAGGTGCTGTTCTTATCCCCATTTTTCTGACAGGTAAAGTAGGGCTCAGAGAGGTGAAGTGACTTGTCCAAGTTCACATTTACATGAGTGGTAAAAGCAGGAGCCACCAAACTCACAGCGCTCAGCATTTAGCCAGCGTGCTGTACGACTCCTAGTCTGCCGTGACGTGGCAGTTGGTATCTCACCCATTGGTCTCCTGGTGGTGGCCCGACCGAGCCTCCAGCCCAGATAAGCCACTTGCCCTTGAATCTTTGTAGCGAGGTCTGCTTCTGGGGGAACTCTAAGAAACTTCCCAGAACACTGGGGCCCAGGAGCTGCTCAGTAGTCCTCCTCTGCTCTCCTGCCCAGGTTCATGGCCACCAGTGACCTGATGTCGGAGCTGCAGAAGGACTCCATCCAGCTGGATGAGGACAGCGAGCGGAAGGTGGTGAAGATGCTGCTCAGGCTGCTGGAGGACAAGAACGGTGAGGTGCAGAACCTGGCCGTCAAGTGGTGAGTGTTGGCCTTGGTGGGGACAGGGCAAGGCCAGGTGTGAGAGAGCCCCACGGGCCCCTGCCCCTTTGGGGTACAGTCTCTGAGAGAGTAGTTGCTGTGAGCACCCCCTTAAGCCCCAGGGGAGTTGGACAGTGCCTTGGTCTGGATTCCCCCAGAAGTAGACCCAGTGACAGGGATTCAAGTGTGAGTTTATTTGGGAAGTGATCCCAGAAAACTCCAGTAGGAGAATAAGGAAGTGAGGTAGGGAAGGAAGAAAGCCAATAACGTGTGGAAGATCAAGCAAGTTACTGCTGTGGGCAAATGGAGCTTAACCCTTGGGGGCCTTTGGGACGCAGTGTAGGACATGCCCTGGGGAGTGTTCCACCCGTGGGCTGTCAGTCTGGTTGAGTGCTGCTCCCAGGGTAGTGGGTAGTGTGGAGGGTTGACCCTGCCAGCCAGAGAAAGCCCTCAGGCACAGATGCAGGGACTGGCAGCTGGAAGGTCACGCCGGCATGCAAAAGGAGTGGTGAGGGCTGAAGGGCCAGGGGGGCCCCAAAAGCCTTTGCCCTAGGCACCCTGAGGTTGCAGTCCTGAGACCTTGGCCAGTTACCTGTAGAGCTAAAAAAGCAAGATGAGGTATGTGAAGGGCACACGTGTGTGTGGGTGGGTGGAGGACTGAGGAATGGCAGGGGTCCACAGTCAACAGAGAATTGGGGCATTACCTGTGGAACAGCACTCTGTGAGCTGGGCCCAGGCATTCTGGGCCGTCTTAATGAATTTCAACTTGATCCCAAGAGCAGAGGGAATCCATAGTTTTATGCAGGAACATGACATGGTCATGTTTGTAGTCTGGAAGCATCTCTCTGGCCACGCGGTAGAGATAGGGTGGATGGCGGTTTCCCACCAGCAGAACCAATAGTACGGTAGTGTGTGTTCCAGTATGTGAATGCTTGGGCACTTTGACTGAAGGGATAATAAAGTCATTATTTCTCATGAAACCTGCACTAAATGTAGGCTCACCTGTGGGTGCCGTGGTACTTGGCAGGTAGAAACAGGTGTGGATGTTGAGGACTCAGCTCCCACAAGCAGCACTGAGGTGCTGATTTTCTCCATTAGCGATGAGATTTTCTGAAATGGCGAACACCTCCTGGTAGTTTTCCGGAAAACAAAGTACAGTCTTCCTTCAATTTACCGGATAGTTATATTCTTGGGAAATTTAGAGCCTATTAGAATAGTATAAAAAGTGCTTTGCGTTTATATGTAAATTGAAATTAGATTTTGGACTCAGATAATTATGGAAAGGTTTTTTTCCTATGCAAATGCCCAGTGGGGTATTAGAAACTCCAGCAGGACATGGAACATGTTTTCTTTTACAATATTGCCTTTCCCAGCCACATGCACGCCCCCCCGCCCCCAAATAAAAGCCAGAAGTGACATCTCATTAGTTATGACCAAAAAAGGCCCCCATAAATTTCCAGAACTCTCCTGAGGGCACTACACCCCAATCAGAACCTATAGGAGGCAGAAAGTGGGGGGAACCCCACGAGTACTTGGATAGAAGAGTTGATGTTGAAAACCGTCAAAAGAGAGCCACGGTTTACAAACTGGTATGCATTGCGGTTCCCTGGGACCCTGGTTAAAGCTCTGTATTCCCCAGCAGGGATTCGGACTCAGGAGCAGGAGGGGTGGAGGGAGGAGTCTGAGATGGGCAGATGAGGAAGTAGCACCTGGGAATCTGCACTCGAATGCACACCCACATCCCAGAATTCATTTAGGTCAGAGGTTCTCAATCTTTTTTTTTTTTTTAAGATTTTATTTATTTATTTGACACAGAAAGACAACTAGAAAGGGAACACAAGCCGGGGGAGTGGGAGAGGGAGAAGCAGGCTCCCCACCGAGCAGGGAGCCCGATGCGGGGCTCAATCCCAGGACCCCGGGATCATGATCTGAGCCGAAGGCAGACGCGTAACAACTGAGCCACCCAGGTGCCCCAGAGGTTCTCAATCTTAACTGCATGTTAGAATCACCTAGGGAATTAAAAAACAAAACAAAACAAAAACAAACTCGCAATGTCCAGGCCACACCTGAAAACCAACGAACTCCGATTCTCTGGGGCTAGCACCCGGGTGACAGTTTTTTAAACGCCCCACGTGATGGCAATGCACAGTTACGGCTGAGAACTAATGTGTCTAGTGCAGCTGTTTTTAAACTTTAATGTGGCTTCACATCACCTGGGGCCTTTGTTGAACTGCAGATTCTGGTTCGGTAGCTCTAGGGTAGGACCTGAGAGTCTGCATTTGTGACAAGTTCCAGGTGATGCTGGTGATGCTTGTGAAGCTGATCTGTGACTATGAGCGGCAAAGCAAGGCTCTAAGGCAGAGGTTCTCAAAGTGTGGTCCCTGGACCACCAGTATCAGCACCCACTGAGAACTTGCTAGAAATTTAAATTCTCAGGCCCCACCTAGACCTCCTGAATCTGAAAATGTGGGGTGGGGTCCAGAAATCTGTTTTAACAAGTCCTCCAAGAGGATTCTGATACACGCTCAAGTTTGAGAACCTCTTGGGCATTCCTTGGTTTCCAGCTGAGGTTCCAGCTGGTTTCCAACTGAGAATACTCTTAGCCATTCCTTGGTTTCGAGCTGAGGTTACTGGGCTCAGGGGTTTGGCCATATACTGACATGCAAAACCCAGGAGGAGGTGCAGGTTTGGGAGGTGCCAGGAATGATGTTGGCAGAGCCAGAGGGTGCCTGTCTTTCTGGCAAAATAAGGAGTCCCCTGTCGATCTGGGGCCTTTTCCTCAGCACATGTGGCCCCATGGGCCTGAGGGGGAACCTAAGGAGCAGCGTGACTCGGGCTGAGCCTGGGGCTTTTGGACACCCTCCTTCCCTCCCTGCTCAGCCTGGGTCCTCTGGTGGGCAAAGTGAAGGAGTACCAGGTGGAGACCATCGTGGATGCCCTCTGTGCCAACATGCGGTCAGATAAGGAGCAACTCCGAGACATCGCTGGCATTGGCCTCAAGACTGTCCTGTCGGAGCTCCCTCCTGCAGCTACAGGTACCCAGGTCCCAGGGATTAGGCACTGTCATTATCTGTCCTACTTTATGATTAAAGAGACTGGGGCCCAGAGAAGTGAAGGTACTTACTAACGCCATCCAGCTAGTGAGTGGCAGAGAATTCAGACCCAGCTCTGTTTAAGTTCCTGGCTCTGTGTCAGGAATGCTTTAGCTGTCAGTAACAAAAATCTAACTAAGGACAGCTTGAGGGAGTACGGGGTTGCTTTTGTCACAGAATTCTGGAGGGATCAGCCATCCCATTTCTGCAGCAAGTCATTTAGCAGCTCAATTAGGACAGGGGTAAGGTCTCTGCCTCTTTTAAGAAAAGCACATGTTTCCTCAGAAGCCCTCAGAAGGCTTTGACCTGTATCTTACTGGCCAGAGCAGAGTCACTTGGCCCCTGCTAGCAACAAGGGAGTCTAGGCAAGGAGCTCTCCCTGCCTCCCTAGTTAGCAGGTGGAAGGCCGTGGGGCCGGGTGTGGGGTGAGTCAGCCATCAATTCTTCAGCTTCCCTGGCTGTCCCCTTTAGTTCAGTCAGACTCTGGGTCAAACCTTGGACCACTCAAGGCCAGGGTCAGCTGGATTCTCGGGGATGTAGGCTCAGGAATATAACGAAAGCAAGGGCTGACCAGAGGTGGTGGCCGGCCCTGGGCCTCACTGTGTCATCCTTGCGCTCTGTGCAGGCTCTGGCCTGGCTACCAACGTGTGCCGGAAGATCACTGGCCAGCTCACCAGTGCCATCGCCCAGCAGGAGGATGTGGCTGTGCAGCTGGAAGCCCTGGACATCCTCTCTGATATGCTGAGCAGGTGGGGGACCTGAGCAAGGAGGACCGGGGAAGGGCAACATGGGGACAGAGAGGGATTCAGAGCCACAGAGCCAGCACTTAACTGCACACCAGGCTCTGTGCTTGGCGCTCCTTGAGTGTCCTAGCAGCCCTGCGAAGGAGAGCTCCTTCATCGCAATTCTATAGTCTCTGAGCCCTGCCCAAGGTCACACTGTCAGTGCCAAGGTAATAGTAAATGGCAGAACCTGGGGTTTGAATTCAGGTCTCTCCAAGCCTGGAAGCCTATATGTGTTCGTCCTCTCCCTCATCCCCTTTCTTTTTCTTCTTTTGGGCTAATAGAGCTGGGCCTTTGTTTTAAATTACACTGTACATTTTAAAATTGTTCATTCATTAAACCTCCCAAGACTTGAACACCTACTCTGTGACCTAGAAAAATGTCAGATGTTGAACTGGTGTTGGGAATATGGAATTGGATGGGTCTTGGGCCCTCCTAGGGAGGAGCTCACAGATAACGTAAACTAAGTGGATAAGAACAACAGTAAGGAAAAGAGCAGAGCTTTTAGGAGCTCAGAGGAGGAGCTGGGGGTAGGGAACTTTCCTCGAGAGGGCCCCGCTAGCTGAGCCTTCAAGGATGGGTAGAACTTGGCCAGGATTGGTTGGGCATAAGGGGGACACTGGAGAGAGAGACTGCCCTCGGGTCCTGGGGGAGACAGCGTGGGGCTGGGGTGTAATGTGGAGAGGCTGATGTGGAGACATGAGGCTGAGGGCTGAGCAGGAGCTGCGGGGTGGGTGACTAAGGCTGACACTGAATGTGTGAGGAGTGGGGGCGCGGGGGTCAGGGCAGGGGTCGAGGAATGCCTGGTGCATATTTGTGTGTTTCAGACTTCTCTTCCTATCTGCCATGTGCACAGTAGATGGCAGGGGTTGAATGGGCAGGGAGACTGGTTAGGAGGCTTCTGCAAGCAGGTGCACTCAGGTTGTATTTAGGAGATAGACTCCACAGGACTCGGGGTGGGTGAGTGGCAAAAACTCAGAGGTGACACCCAGAGGTCTGGCTTTACTGACTGGGGGGCACACAGGGCCATTGGCTGTGGTGGGGTGCACTCTGGGAACAGGAGCAGGTTGTGGGGAGGAAGATGATGGGTTCATTTGAAGCATGTTGAATCAGAGGTGCCTGGGAGGCACCCACTCAACCAAAGACTCCATGAGGGCAGGCTCTAGGGCCAGTCTAATCTCACCCAACCTTCCAGCACAGGCCCTGTGACACAGTAGGTGAAGAAAGAAAGAAAAATGAAATCCAGGAGAGAGAGCCAGGCTGGATATGGGAGTGTGAGGCCAATGTGTTTGTGTAGAGTGAGAAAAGTCTCAGAATATGTATGGGACAGAAAATGCACAAGCCTGGTTTTGAAGGTGAAGACAGAAGCTGCTGAGGTGGGTAGGGGGCTGCATTCTCCCTGTGCAGAAGCCATTCTCTGGTTTTGCCTCTTGCCTTAAGCCTAGAGCCCAGCTTATCCAAAGAGCACTGGGGAGCCACTGAAGGAATTAGGCAGAGGATTGACCAGGTCAGAGGTAGACTTTAGAGAACTGTGATCTCAGTGAAGGGGATGGATTGACAGGGTGTGTGTGTGTGTGTGTGTAGAGTGTGCCCGATCGACAGGGTGTGTGTGTGTGTGTGTGTAGAGTGTGCCCGATTGACAGGCTGTGTGTGTGTGTGTGTGTGTGTGTAGAGTGTGCCCGATTGACAGGGTGTGTGTGTGTGTGTAGAGTGTCCCTAGGAGGCAAAGCCCAGACCACCAGGAAATCAGCCCCACTGGAGTCCCCCACACTCCATTACCATCAAGCCTTCTCCCCAGGCTAGCAACCTGGACATCTGGATTCAAGTCCTGGCCTTGTATTTCTTGGCTGAGTGGTCTTGAGAAAGTCCCTTCCCCTCTCTGCTTTCTCTGTGTAACAATAAATAAATAATTATTCCACACAGTTGCAGGGTGCCTTTCCATTTACCAAGGGTCATTGGGTTGTCATAATTCCGGGGAGCAGGCCTGGAGAGAGGATGGGGAGAGGAGAGGTGCCTGGCCCAGGCTGCCCGCTGGGTGGGCCCCGTCCGACATCCCCTCCCACTCCCCAGGCTGGGCGCCCCTCTGGGTGCCTTCCACGCCAGCCTCCTGCACTGTCTGCTGCCGCAGCTGAGCAGCCCACGCCTGGCCGTGCGCAAGCGGGCAGTCGGGGCACTGGGCCACCTGGCGGCCGCCTGCAGCACCGACCTCTTCGTGGAGCTCGCGGACCACCTGCTGGATCGGCTGCCCGGCCCGCGCGCACCCGCCAGCCCCGTCGCCATCCGCACTCTGATCCAATGTCTGGGTAGCGTCGGCCGGCAGGCAGGCCACCGCCTCGGTAAGGGGGTGGAGCCCCTCTGCAAGGGGCGGGGCCGGGGCGGGGAGGTGCTGCGGAGCCTGGGGCGAGCTGCCTCCTAGATGAGGGGGCGTGGCTGATGCAGGGAGGAGCTTGGGGGAGGGGTGGGGCCCGAGCTGAGAGTAAGGGGCAGAGCATGAGTGTCAGCCACCTCCCAGGTAAGGGGGCATGGCTGATGCCTGAAAGCGGGAGGCGGAGCTTGAGATGCTGTGGGTGGGCCCTGAGCTCGTCGTGCTGCCACCAAACTTAAATACAGTATGTTCTATTCTCCTACTTTGACAGATATAACAACCCAGAAGCCAGGTTTGAATTTTTAAAAATTTTTATTGGGGCATAATGTACATACAATAAACTGTACTACTTAAAGTGCACAGTTAAGTGTGTTTTGATCTTTGCATACAGCTGTGAAAGTACTACCGCAATGAAGATGTAGAACATTTCCATCACCCCCCAAAAGTGTCCTTGTGCCCTTTTGCAGTCCATCCCTCCCCTTGTCCCACTCCAGGCAAGCACTGATCTGCTTTCTGTCACCAGAGATGAATCTTATAGAAATGGAATCCTGCAGGTTTGAATTTATTTTCAAGCACCTCGGAGTTCTGGGCTAGAACAAGCCAGTGTGGGCAGAGTTGGCCACGGTCTGCCCCTCTTTCCCCTCTGGCTCTCTCACTGTAAGGGATTTTATGAACACACTCGGGGACCCCACCCCGAAGTCCGTGCTCTGTCCGCATCCCCCCTCAAACAACAGCCACCGTTGGTCACTCTTGGGAGTATGAACCCATGAGGGAGCCTGAACAGGACCAGACTAGGGTTCATGGTCAGTTGGGCAGGAAAATGGGGAAGCCTGTGACTGGAGAAGAGCTAGGATAGAACACTTTAAAGCACCAAAAGGTGCCCTTGCCTGGTGCATAAGGGAGTACCTGCATTTCCATGTTTCCCATCCAGGGCTACAACCTAGTGCAGGAAAGAAGATGAGGACGTGAGTAAGTTTCAACGACAGATGCTACTATAGGGCCTACCCTGTGCCAGGTGGAGCTCTTTATGTGCATCATGTCATTAATCCTCACCCAAATCTCTGCCTGGTAGGCATTGTTATCGCTACTGGCAGGATGAGTAGCCTAGGTCAGAGAAGTGGTTGTGGTGTGCCCAAGGTCATGTGGCTCATAGGTGGCAGAGACAAGGCTAGAACCTTGACATCTGCTTGACTCTGAAGCCACCGAGTGGAGTTTGCAGTGGTCAGGGCTGCAAGTGCAGGGAAGGCTGAGTGCTGTGGGCTGAGGGAGCCTGGGAAAGGGTCTGGCCTGCCCTCAGTGACACACCTGGCCCTGTAGGCGCCCACCTGGACCGCCTGGTGCCCCTGGTGGAGGAGTTCTGCAACCTGGATGACGATGAGCTCCGGGAGTCCTGCCTCCAGGCCTTTGAGGCCTTCCTGAGGAAGTAGGTGCAGTGCGCGTGCCAGGAGACTGGGGCCCAGGGTTTCTTTGGGAAGTTGGGGGCCGAAGGGGTGGGGCACGATGCTGGCTTCGAAGCAGTACGATCTCAGGACTCAGCGCTGGGCTGGCCCCCTGCCCTCTCCTGCCTGTCCAGCTGAGCTTCCCCCATCCCGCCCCACAGGTGCCCCAAGGAGATGGGTCCTCACGTGCCCAGCGTGACCAGCCTCTGCCTCCAGTACATGAAGCATGACCCGAACTATAACTACGACAGTGACGGGGATGAAGAGCAGATGGAGACAGAAGATAATGAATTCAGTGAGCAAGGTGGGTGGCCAACTTGTCATCGGGGCTGGAAGGCGGAAATGGGTGCAGCTTTCCTGGAATATCCCCCACCCCCCAGCCAAAGACACATCTAGCACCCCCATCCTGATCTTAACTCTTCCTCAGTCTCCAGCCCTGCCCTCCGTGATTTGGGTTCCCCAAGGTCCCCACCCTGTGCACAGATCCAGGTAATGATAGTGGTAATTGCTATCATTTATGGAACATCTACTAGTGTCCTGAGCATTCTCATTTCATGCTCCTTCCAAGAACTCTTGTTATTATCCCCATATTTCAGACAAGGAAACCCGGATTTAGGGAAGAGATTTGCCTGAAATGACACAGCTAGGATGTTGGTAGAACTGGGACTTGGAGCCCCCACTTCTAGGCTGCCATCTCTATGCCTGCTTAGTAATGGCTTCCAAGAGATGATGCTTTAACCCAGCAGAGTGAAGCTCTAATGGTGGAATGATAGGTACTAACGGGGAGAGAGATACCTGGTTGGGGAACGGATGCAGTGGCTGCCTTCATTCTGTGCCCATGGTCCTACCTGTCACTCAGACTGCTGGCCCTGGGCCTTAGAAGCAGGGCATTGATGGAGGAGAGGGACTTAGGGCCTGGTGGGGTATTCAGAATAAGATGGGATGGTGGGAGATGAGATTGGACAGGCGTGTTGGGGCCTCGAGCGCCAAGTCAGGGAGAATGGGCGTTTTCTTGCCAGTAGCCTGGAGCTATGGATGTTTCTTCCTGGGTGGCATAGGGTGGAGATAACCACAGTCCATCAGAGGACATCTGCTCTGGCGACAGGACATATCCATGGGACCATCCACATGGCCCACTATGGCTTCTCCAGACTCCAGTGCTCTGCAAGTCTGAGTCATCTACAGAGTGGCATGGGTAGAAAGAACACACTGGCCTCTGGATCTGTGCCTGGTGGTGTCCCTAGTTAGGACCATCCCCCTCTTAACCTCATGTGCGTCTCCCCAGGTGTGTGGGTGGGCCCTGTGGGCCTGAATCTCAGCTCTGTTGTTTCCTAGCTGTGTGTCCGCAGGAGAGTCTCACCCTCTCTGAGCCTAATTCTTGTCATCTATAAAATGGGGCTCACGGCGCCCTCATTCCTGAGGTGTGGTGAAGACTTGATGAGCTCTGTCCTCTCAGGGGAGCTTGGAGAGTAGAAAGCCACACAAACACAGCTTTTCCTTGTTGGCAGTCCTGCCTGGAAGCCAGAATCCGGACTTGAGAGGCTGGCGGGGCGGGGGGGAGCAGGGGGGGAGGAGGTCAGAAGGAGGCCTGTCACCTCTCCCTTCTGGAATCCCAGTAAGTGAAAATCACCCAGTCAGTTCTGACCAAAGGATGTATTTTGTGCCCCAAGTGGATTCTCTGAAATCCTCACTAACGACTTGGAAGTTAGTTTTGTCCCTGATGTAGACAAAACAGTGAAGGGTCTGGAGGCAAAGGGAGGATCCTGGTCTAACTCCAGCTATATCCCCGCTCATGTAACATGGGGTGAGCCATTCCCCCCAGTTTCCACATCTCTACAGAAGGAAAATAACCCCTGTCTCACAAGGTAGTTGTGAGGCTCAAATGAGGTTGTGGATCTGAGGTGCTTGGCATTGCCTCTGGCACACCGTAGGTGTTCATGAAATGGCAGGTAACACTCCCAACAGCCTGTAAATAGTCAACGAAAGTTGAAACAGGCCTGGCTCCCTCCTCCCTGCCCCATCCCGGGAGACAGCCTGGGTGAGGCCAGGCTGCCGTGCTCAGGGCTCCATGGGTGTCCTGTTCCTGCCCCAGAGAGTGAGGACGAGTACAGTGATGATGATGACATGAGCTGGAAGGTGCGCCGGGCCGCGGCCAAGTGCATGGCAGCCTTGATTGGCTCTCGGCCCGACCTGCTGCCTGACTTCCACGGCACCCTGGCGCCTGCGCTCATCTGCCGCTTCAAGGAACGCGAGGAGAACGTCAAGGCTGATGTCTTCGGGGCTTACATTGTGCTGCTGCGGCAGACGCGACCCCCGAAGGGGTGGCTGGAGTCCATGGAGGAGCCCACCCAAACGGGCAGCAACCTCCACGCGCTGCGCGGCCAGGTGGGCACGCCTCCTCCTGTCTCCCACCCTCGCTGCCCAACTCATGACTCACCCTCCCACCTGTTCACCCTCCCATCCGTCCGCCTTCCCATCCTTCTGCTGCCCCACCATCTGTCCAGCCACGGAAGTGTGTGCCCTGAGCCCTGACTGCCTGGCCCTGTGGTAGGTGCTGAGGCCCAGCGGGGAGCATGGCCGGTGAAGCCCTGGCCCCTGGACCACACAGATAGATAGCACAAATAGGGCTTCTGGCCTGCCCCCCGCAGAAGGTGTTTCTGTTTTATTCTAAGGGCCTAGAAGCCATAGGAGGGGAATTACGGGATCCCATTCCCATTTGAAGGAGCTCACTCTGGCTGCTATATGGGGAATGGAGTGTAAAAGGGCAGGAAAGAGGAGCCGCTGGAGGCCAGCAGGAGGCCATGGTAGTTGTCCAAGTGGGAGGGATGGTGCTGTGGGCTGGGCATAGGGGAAAGAGGACTGGTCAGACTGGAGGGGTAGGTTTTGGGTCTTGCTGACGGATTAGATGTGGAGAGTGAAAGACCGGAAGGTGTCATGTGAGTGCCAGGCTCTGGCTAAAGCATGAACTGCTGCTCCTTGCCACGGTGAAGGGAATATCTAGAGTTCTGTTCCGGACATTTATGTGGAAGGTCCGGCGGGTAGGGAGCACACAAGTCAACGTTGGAGATGTAGGTCTGGGAGTCCTTGCTTCACTGGCATCTAAGCTCGGGGACCAACTGGGCTCCTCTGGGGAGAGAATCTAGCCAGGGAAGGGAAAAGGGCCTCAGTGCTTCCCCGTCGTGGAGTGTAGGGGTGAGAGCCAGACTGCTTTGGGTGGCCTGGAGCAAGTCACTTCATCTCTCTGACCTGCTCCCCGTCTGTAAAGAGGGCCCAGAAACAGGACCGACCGCAGAGTACCTGGTATGGAGTGTGTGGTGGAAAGCTGGGGCTGGAGCGATCCTCCCACACCGGGGGCCCTCCATGGGCCTGTGCCTGGGCCAAGCCCCCCAGTACTGGGTGGGACAGCCAGGTTTCCTGGCTAGTGACTGATCCCCTGCAAACTGCCCACAGGTGCCTCTTGTGCTCAAGGCCCTGCAGCGGCAGCTTAAGGACCGGAGCGTCAGGGCCCGCCAGGGCTGCTTCAGCCTCCTCACCGAGCTGGCGGGCGTCCTCCCTGGCAGCCTGGCAGAGCACATGCCCGTGCTGGTGGCAGGTAGGATGGACTGCAGCCAGGTATCTGCTGTCCTGGGCTCTTCCAGAACCCGACCCCAGGCCTCAATCCCCGTGGGTACCCCTGCTCAGCAACCTACGGTGGCTCCCCACTGCCAGCAGTGAGAACAAAGCTGGGCTACAGGCCCTACGTCCTGGCTTCCGAGGGGTTTCCTGGCCTTGTGTCCCTCCGCCCTGGCCCTGGCCAAGCCCTGACCTTTCAGAATCTGCAGCCTAAGAGCCTAGGGGTCTGGGTCCAGCTCAGATGCCTGCAGGTGCTCCACCGTCATATCCAGGGACTGCTTGTGGCCCCATAACCTTTGCACCCACCCCCCACAGGCATTGTCTTCTCTCTGGTGGACCGTTCCAGCTCTTCAACTATCCGGATGGACGCCCTGGCCTTCCTACAGGGGCTGCTGGGCACAGAGCCAGCCGAGGCCTTCCACCCACATCTGCCGACTCTCCTGCCACCCGTGATGGCCTGCGTGGCTGACCCTTTCTACAAGATCGCGGCCGAGGCCCTGCTGGTGCTCCAGGAGCTGGTGCGGGCCCTGTGGCCCCTGGACAGGCCTCGGACGCTGGACCCCGAACCATACGTTGGAGAGATGTCTGCGGCCACTCTGGCACGGCTCCGTGCCACTGACCTGGACCAGGAGGTGAAGGAGCGTGCCATCACCTGCATGGGCCACCTCGTGGCCCACCTGGGTGACCGGCTCGGGGACGACCTAGGGCCGTCACTGTTGCTCCTCCTGGACCGCCTGCGGAATGAGATCACCCGGCTGCCTGCTGTCAAGGCGCTGACGCTGGTGGCCGTGTCCCCGTTGCGGCTCGACCTGCAGCCCGTCGTGGCTGAGGCACTGCCCGTTCTGGCTTCGTTCCTGCGGAAGAACCAGCGGGCACTGCGGCTGGCCACGCTGGCCGCCCTGGACGCGCTGGCCCAGAGCCAGGGACTTAGCCTCCCGCCGGGTGCCATGCAGACTGTGCTGGCCGAGCTGCCTGCCCTGGTCAGTGAGAGCGACATGCATGTGGCCCAGCTGGCCGTGGACTTCCTTGCCACGGTGACCCAGGCCCAGCCGGCCTCTATGGCCAAGGTCAGCGGCCCCGTGCTCTCGGAGCTGCTGCGGTTGCTGTGCTCGCCCCTGTTGCCCGCTGGCGTGCTGGCCGCTGCCGAAGGCTTCCTGCAGGCCCTGGTGGGGACCCGCCCCCCGTGCGTGGACTACGAGGGGCTCGTCCGCATGCTCACGGCACCTGTCTATGACCAGGCTGCGGAGGGCGGGCCAGGCTTGCACAAGCAGGTGTTTCACTCTCTGGCTCACTGTGTGGCAGCCCTCGCGGCCGCCTGTCCCCAGGAGGCGGCAGGCACGGCAAACCGCCTGGTCTGCGATGCCAGGTCACCCCACTCCAGCACAGGGGTCAAGGTCCTGGCGTTCCTGTCGCTGGCCGAGGTGGGCCAGGTGGCCGGGCCAGGCCCCCAGCGGGAGCTGAAGGCAGTGCTCCTGGAAGCCTTGGGGTCACCCAGTGAGGACGTGAGGGCGGCCGCGTCCTATGCGCTGGGCCGCGTGGGCGCCGGGAACCTGCCCGACTTCCTGCCCTTCCTGCTGGGGCAGATCGAGGCTGAGCCCCGGCGGCAGTACCTGCTGCTGCACTCGCTCAGGGAGGCCCTGGGGGCCGCCCAGCCCGACAGCCTGAAGCCCTATGCTGAGGACATCTGGGCCCTGCTCTTCCAACGCTGTGAGGGCGCCGAGGAGGGCACCCGGGGGGTGGTGGCTGAGTGCATCGGCAAGCTGGTCCTCGTGAACCCTCCGTTCCTCCTGCCCCGATTCCGGAAGCAGCTCGCTGCAGGTAGGGGCACAGGTGTGGGCAAAGGCAGTCCAGATCGGAAGTAGGCAGTTTGCATCTGAGCGGCCCACTCAGAGTGAGCTAATTCAAACCACTGGGTTGGAGAGTCACGGTGTGGATAAGGTAAAGGCAGAGGATCCATGAGAAAACACAGTGTTTCCAGAGACTTGCAGCCTCCTCCCGGGGGACTCTCTGGGATGGAGGAGAGAGAATCCTTAATATCCTAATATGTCCCCTCAAAAAATAAGCCTTTCATGATGCCATTTTCGTACTCATTGATGTGGACCGTAGCCTCATGCTCCGGGTGAAGGTTAATAAAATCAGTTTTCTGTCTGCAGAGAGTGCAGCTCTCTTGGGCTGGTTGGAGCCAGGATCAAATGTCAGTGTAGACCAGGACTGGGTACCATACCCTGGGGGTTTGGGGAGCGTCCAGCAAAAACCAGGGGCAGGTTTTGTGTGGTCAGGCAAGGGCATGTCAGGGCATTCCGAAGCTCAGGGAGGGAGAAAGCAGACAGGTGGGACTGTGGGGCTCTTGGGCAAGTGAAAGCCCCTGGGAAGGAAAGGCCGCTAGGCCTTGAGCTGGTCTGCTGGCCCACTGATAGGGTCAGTGGGTGTATTCATTGACAGAATGTAGGCAAAGTGCTGGGTATATAGTACGTAGTATGTAATTAATACTAAGTGAGTAACTGCTATCATTGCTCTGTTCGTGATTCCAATTAGGCCCTTACTGGGATGCTGGGTTTAGAAGCAGCAGCTCTGTAGTCCGCACCACTGTGTGGACAGAAGAATGTATCAAAGACATTGCCTGTGACACTCACAGGGCTCTTCACGAGGAACCTTGAGAGGCCAGAGTCTTGGGATTTGTTTCTGCCTCATGCACACTGTTGAGCCAGCGAACCAGTTACATTTCCTTGTTAGCCGCCTGGAAGCTTGGAGCCAAATTTGTGGCCTGCTTCTCGCAAGTTTGTGGGACTTCCTAGTTGGCTCTCCCTGCCCTCACTCTAGTCTTCCTCTCACTTCCCTGCCTGTATTTTCCCTCGGCCTCATTTTTTTCATTTCATTTTATTTTATTTTATTTATTTATTTTTTTTAAAGATTTCATTTATTTATTCATGAGAGACAGAGAGAGAGACAGAGGCAGAGCGAGAAGCAGGCTCCCCGCGGAGCAGGGAGCCCGATGCGGGACTTGATCCCAGGACCCTGGGATCATGACCTGAGCCGAAGGCAGACGCTTAACCGACTGAGCCACCCAGGCGTCCCTTC